CACCTGGTTTGGGAACAGCACCAAGCAGGACAGACGAGATCTGCAAAGAGTGGTGCGCTCGGCAGAACGCATCATTCAATCAGAGCTCCCTGACCTGCTGTCCATCTACACCAAGCGGTGCAAGTCCAAAGCTAGGAAGATTATGATGGACCTCTCCCATCCCAACAATGGACTCTTCTCACTGTTGATATCTGGGAAGCGCTTCCGCTCCCTTAAGGCCAAAACAGAGAGAATGAGGAGGAGCTTCTTCCCCCAGGCTATTCGGGCCCTGAACCAGGTGTAGGACTGGACTCTCATACATCGCTGCACCAGACACGCTCTGTTTATTTGCACGCTTCTTATAATTTATTTTGTAAATCGTTATTTGCACATCCTATTCTTACTGTAAATTTCTAAGTTGAAATCTGTAAATTTTGTCATAATCTGTAAATCTTTAAATTCTTTACTGTCATTTAATGGTCTGGCATTGCAGAGCAATAAGCATTTCACGACATGTTGTACTGTGTATGATTATGTGTGTGACAAATAAAATTTGAATTTGAACTGAAGAAGCTTCTCGGACTGAAGCCTCTAGAACAGGGGTGTCAAACTCAAACACACAGTGGGCCAAAATTCAAAACTGGAACAAAGTCGCGGGCTAACGTTAATATTTATTGAAAAAAAAATCTTCCTCCAAATATAAGAATGAATCTTTTCTTATGGACTCAAATAAGTTTTGCTGGAAAACTGAATATGGAACAAGCAAAGCTTAATACTAAACAATATATATATTAGCTGTATAATACCAGTAGGCCAGCTCTAATAGTAATTTGGTTTGGCTTCGAGGGCCAAATGTAATTAGGCTGCGGGCCACATTTGGCCCGCGGGCCAGAGTTTGACACCTATGCTCTATAATGATTACAGAACCAGGCTGTGTGTTCTCACGTCACTACAGTCCAGAAGTGTTCAGGTTAAAGACCAGCAGAGTCCAGTATGAGACCCATATTTACATTCCAGCGTCTGTTAGGTGATCTCTGCACAGCCTTCTTCATGTTCAGGTGAAGTCTGTGTTCGTGCTTCATGTAAATTCAGTCTAACTGATCTGTTTCCTCCTCAGTGACGGCTGAGTGCTCCAAGCAGCAGGAGAAGCTGTTCCAGAGGACCATTTCTGTGGTGGACACTCCCGGCCTCTTCGACACCACGATGTCTGAAGACGCCGTGAAGAGGGAGATCTCCAAATGCATCAACATGTCGGCCCCGGGGCCCCACGCCATCCTGCTGGTCATCAGGGTGGGACCCTTCTCTGCAGAGGAACGGGACGCCGTGAAGAAGGTAGAGGAGATCTTTGGAGAGGGTGCCTGGAGGTACACCATGATCCTCTTCACCCACGGAGACAAAGTCGAAGAAGACTTTGATGAGTTCATAAAGGAGGAGTCGGGACCTGAGCTGCAGGAGGTCCTGATGAAGGCTGGAAACAGATACCACGTCTTCAACAATCTCAGAGCCAACGACCGTCGCCAAGTCCTGAACCTGCTGGAGAAGGTGGACAAGATGGTGGCCGACAACGGAGGAGAGTCTTACTCCAACTACACATACCTGCAGGTGGAGGAGATGCTGAAACAGAGAGAGTCAGAGCTCAGAGAGTTCTACGAGAAGAAGCTGACGGAGGAAGAAGACAAGGTGAAGTCAGAGTACGAGAAGAAGCTGAAGGAGGCTCGGGAGGAGAAACAGCAGTTAGAGAAACGACTGCGGTGTGAGCTGGAGGAGGTGAGGAGGTACTATCGGGCTTTAGAGAACGGAGTCCGTCAGGTCGTGGAGCAGATGACCAGAGATGACTGTTTTGATGAAATCCTCACCAAGTTCCACGAGACCTTGAAGCTGAACTGAAGTGATGCTGACTCCCACTCACAGCACTCAACTCTCCACCTGGTTCAGAGGCCGAACACACTAAAGATTTTGGGCGGTGCTGTTCCAGAAGCTTCCATCAGCTTGTGGGGTCATGACTTTGCTGGTGCAGCTGAAGGTGATGTTTTCCAGGAGAGTTTGTGAGATCTTCAGGATTCATGAGCTGGAAATTTGTCCTGGAACTGCTGATGTGTTTGCAGTAGCTGCAAGAAGCACAGGATTACCTGTAGTTTAAATCTGAGTTAATAATGGACTGCCAGCAGGATGGGAGCATGGATCAGAGTGTTGCATACCGACAGACTTTCCTTTTGTTCTGTTGCTCGCACAGTTAAATAAATGGAGCAAATATACATTCACAGAATGGAATAGAAGGTGTTGAAGCTGACTCTGAGCTGCTTCTGCTCTTAAATTAACTGAAAATTTGTTTATAGACAAAAGGTGAAGCATGATAGTTTAACCTTCCTCTTTATGATGGACGTGGGAAATAAACTCTTCTCTAATCAAGAAGTGGAAAGAGTGCCAGATTTCCACATACTCAGTCATCATGTTAACCAAATGTAACTGTAACCATGATTGTTAGTCCACATCAGAATGAAATTTGGTGCATTTCCTCACCATCAGAGTGTATAGTGTAATTAATAAATAAATCTAAAGGGATGAGAAAAATCTCACATATGTTCACCTAGGAGTAGAAGAGAAATGTGTCTATAAGGGATAAAAAGAGAAACTGTACAGAATATTATAAAAATAAGATTAATAGCTCTAGAAAAATGCTGTGTGAAACCGTTTCAGGTATGAAATTGCTTTGTCCTAAATATACATAAAATGACATATTAATGGTCATAAGCTGACCCCACAGCCCGTTGTTCATTCACTGGGCCAGGTATTACACAAATGTCCTGTTTGTAAGGTTGGAGACCTGCAGTGTTGAGATGAAATTATTTGAAGTGCTTCAATTCTATGCTTTATATTAACTAAAATGCCATATAACCATATAGTGTAGTATTAAGTGGACATGGCCCTGGAAAACAAAGGCATTAGACTACGTGTCCTTGGGGGGTAGAATGGTGCAGACTCTCGCCCACGCCGGCCTGGGAGAAAGTAGATAACAGGGGACCATGTTCTAGGAGAAAGTTAGTGAAACACTGTTGTTTAGACTAGAGAGGGACCAGCAGGCACCTAGTTTTTGAGAGACAAAGGTTGTTGATTTCTGTGTATCAATGTGCTGCTGGAACTGCCCCAGTGGATTTGATGTGAAAATCCCCACGTACAAGTAATAAAATTAATTGTTTATTCTGAGAAAAACAGGAATGGGGTATTACACTGTTTTATGATGCATTATACTGCTGATTAATAAGAAATGCTGTTTGTGTAGAATCATGGCCTTATTTGTCTGATTAGAAAGAACAAAACATACTGCACAGGAAGCCAAGATCGTAACGTAGGCTCACTGAGAGAAAGAATGTGAAGGCTTAGTTTGGGCCTCAAGCTATAAGAATGTGAGAAATGGTCAGACACTTGGAGATCTCGCCGGACACCCTCCTGTGCACATCTCCCGTCCAGCCGTTTGTAATGCTCTAAGTGTTTGTATGGAATAAAGAGATTGTTGAGCATTAAACACCCAGTGTTGTTCTTCCTTCAGCCCAAAGATCAAAGAATTGGGATATTTAATAACGTTCAACACATTTCTGTTCTTGTTGTTACTGATGAACAGAGATGGGCAGTAACGCGTTACTGTAATCTGATTACTTTTTTCAAGTAACGAGTAAAGTAAGGGATTACTATTGCAAAAACGGTAATTAGATTACCGTTACTTTCCCGTAGGAACGCT